GGAGACCCAGTGGTGTCTGGAGGGGGACCTAGGATGAGGTAGAAACCAAGGGGCCATGGGCTGCCCCTGGCTGCCTGAGGCTGAGCTCCTCTAGAAGGGCGCCTGACGCTGTAGTCTCCCACCCCAAGGCCTGAGGGACTCTGTGTCCTGTGTACTCTGTCCATGACACCAATGCAGACAGTTACACCCTGAGAGGAGTTCCGAAAGCCATGGGAGATGGTGGTCACTCTGGCCTAAGCCCTGTCCCCAGGACCTGACTAGTCACTCCACTCCTGATAGGGCTTCCGGAGAAGTCTCCAAGAAGGACAGTAGCCAGGCCAAGGCCAGGATTCAGTGGCCCTTGTCCACCTGGCTCTTCCCTATTCCTCGGGCTAGCTCCCCTGTCCATCACCCATCTCCACTGGCTCAGGTCAGCCCCGTGCCCTTGTACAGGCCAACACGCTGGCCTTGTGGGGCCTGCCCCATCCTCGCTGTCTGTCACAGCCTCACCCATCCTTCCTACTGAAACCACTGGGATGAACGGGGTGGGACGGAACGGTGTTGCTTGTCTCAGGGACCCCAAGAGTCTCCCAGGAGGGGTGCTGTGGCCCTGGAGTTGGAGACATGCTTTCAGACACCTCCTGTAACCATCCCAGCACCCACTCTCCCGCCTCCTGGCTGTGCACTGTCCTCACCTGTCCTTTCAGGCACAAGAAAGAGGCAGCCTTTTAGGAGGAGCAGCCTGTCCTCTCACAGAAGCCGCCTCTGATGGTGTCCATCCAAGGTCCCGTCCAGCTAAGGCCCGGGAAGCCGGGAACTGGAGCAGGGGGCCAAGGAGTGGCTGCCCTGGACATGCCCTTTTCTTGTGCAACCTGGGGTGCCAGGGGCAGGTGTCCTGTCTAGTACCAGCATCATGCCAGGCAGAATCACCCTGCTCAGTTGAGCCCAGCAGCCACCCACTGCCTCTTGGATACCTGGTCCTGCAGCAGACCCTACCCAGAGCTGTAGCCTCCAGTCCTCTGCACCTGTGGTCATGTTGACCCTGTCACCTGCAAAGGCATCCATGCTCTGGAACAAAGGACAGAGGAACAGAGGGACAGAGGGATGGGATCACAAGGCCCCGTCCCTTCCTAATGGTTGCTGAGTTCTTTCTTTTTTCTTTTCTTCTTTTCTTTTCTTTTTCTTTTTTTTCTTTTCTTTTCTTTTCTTTTCTTTTCTTTTCTTTTGGACAGGATCTCATTATATAGACCAGGCCCCAAGTACTGGGTTTAAATGTGTGCACTATTACACCCAAATTAAGAGATATTTTCTTGCCAGGTGGTGGTAGTGCACACCTTTAATCCCAGCACTCAAGAGGCAGAGGCAGGTGGATCTCTGTGAGTTCGAGGCCAGCCTGGTCTACAGAGTGAGTTCTAGGACAGCCAGGGCTACACAGAGAAACCCTGTCTCAAAAAAAAAAAAAATCAGAGAGAGAGAGAGAGGGATTTTTTTCAGTTGTGTGACCACTGGAAATTGATGAGGCTCCTGTAAAAACCCTTCACCCATTCACCATGGTCCTATAAGCAACCCTATGAAACTCATTAGGTCACACACAAAAATCTACCACCAAACAAACATGAATGTTAGGAGGGAGACTGGTTAGGAAGAGGAGACCAGCAGGGCAGGAAGGTGTCACAAGAGGGTAATGGTAACTAGGTGAATATGATCAAAATACCTTATATACATGTATGCCATAATGAAACCCATCATTGTGTATAATTAATATATATGCCAAGAGAGACACTTCAGAGCCAGGGTGACCCTGAACACAGACCTCGAGCAGCAAGGCCTGCCACTCCCTATCTGTCAGACCCCTCCTCAGACGGGGGCGGGGGGGTGTCAACCAGTGGGTGCACAGGGAATGGGGGAAGGAGCAGCCTTTCAGAGCTTTCCCAAAGCAGGATCCTGTGATGTGGAAGGGCAGGGGCCAGGAGGCCCTCTGGCTCCCTGGAGCACCTTGGTATCAAACACTCTGGAGACAGACTCAAGTCAAGGCCCTGGAGAAGTGCACATCTCCCACTGGTCACCCCTTCCCAGGTGGGTGACTGGGAGCAGAGGCCACTGGACCCATCTGTGGACATCAAGACTTCCAGGGGCTGTGCCTAGGCCACAGGGGCCTATTTATTTGTCTATTATTTATTTAGCAGAGCTGAGGATGGAGCCCAGGGCCCTGGGAACACTAGGCAAGTGCCCAACCCACTGCCTGGATCCCTCAGCCCTCTCCAGGCTGTCTTGCCTCAGGGCCTCCCAGGCAGCCCTGGCTCTGAGAAGCTGACTTGGTAGTCCTGCACTCTTCAAGCAGGTCTATGGTGTAGGCTGGAGGGCTGGACTGTGTTAGCTCTATTCCCTCATGGCCAGGTTCACCAGCTTCTGGACACCAGATCACAGTGTCGGACTGGATCCCTGAGTACAACAGTCTAGGAACATCTCAAGGTGTTTGGATGGGGTTTGGTGTTAGGTGGGGTTTTGGAGCAGCTGGAGTTCTCTGGGCTTGTGACCCCAGAAGCCCCAAGTGTGAACCACACACGATGGTGCATGCTGTGATCTCAGCCCTTGCTGGGCTAGGGCAGGGGGATGGTTTACAGGTTTGAAGCTTGTCTGGGCTACCTACCAAATTTAGTATCAGCCTAAATCACACATTGAGACCTGGTACCAAACTAACTAAATAGAAGAGTCAGATGTGAGGTTAGTGATGCGTGCCAGCTCTCCAGTCGTAGAGGGGAAGGAAAAAAGAAAAGACAGACTGGATGAGAGGCGGAGGCAGGAGGATGGGAAACTCAAAGTCACCTTTGGCTACATAGGGAATTTGGGCCAGCCTGGGCTATACAGGATCCTGTTTCAGAGAAAGGTCGGGGAGGCCTAGCAGAGTCCTGGGGCAGAGTACACACAGCAGGCATCAAGAGACAGGCGGCCTTGGTTGTGGGTCTTGTACCTGGAACAGCCAGCCTTTGAAGCTGTCCCGGGGTCCTGGGCTAGGCCACCTCCCTTCACTCTAACTCTGACCTGTTGTTTTGCAGACCCGGAACTCTGGCTCAGTTCATACTCTAGAGTCCCACTGGTCACTCAGCCCTCGATTTTCAGAGCCTAGAATATTCTACCTGCCCAGCTCCTCTGAGATTCTGGGATCTGTCTTTCCTGACTGAAAATTCTTGGGGGCTCTGCCCACACCAGTCTTCCTGACACCCATTCGTCACCAAAGACTCGGGGTTACCTTTTATTTTTATATTAGTTTGTTTTAAAGCAAAGGTCTTCTTCTTCTTCTTTTTTTTTTTTTTTTTTT